GGATAACTGCCCCTTCCTTTGTAATTTAGTATGTTCCATTTTATATTTTTCTTACTGGCCTTTAGTACCACCAACACAAGGCTGAACGTAGGCTGTCATAGAAAGCATTTTCACTTCTCATCTTAAACAGAAATACTTTTCAGCATTAAATATGATGCTTCAACCTGGCTTTTGCTAGGTTTTATTTATCAGTATAGGAAAGTCACTTTCTATCCTTAATTGCTAAGGATCTATTTTAAAAGTAAGTCAGGAATAGACACTAACCTTATCAAATGATTTTTTCTTCATTTCTTAATATGATCATATAGATTCCCCCCCCTCCAGAAATAAATGTATTCTTCTTTCTAATGTTAATCCAAGTGTGTATTTCTAGGAAAGACCTAATTTATTCATGATTCAGCTGGCAAAGAATCCACCTGCAATGCAGGAGAGACCGGTTTGATACCTGTGTCCGGAAGATCCGCTGGAGAAGGGAAAGGCTACCCACTCCAGGATTCTTGGGCTTCCCTGGTGGCTCAGCTGGTAAAGAATCCCCCTGCAATGTGGGAGACCTGGGTTCAATCCCTGGGCTGGGAAGATCCCCTGGAGAAGGGAATGGCTCTTCCCAGTATTCTGGCCTGGAGCATCCCATGGACTGTGTAGTCCGTGGGGTCACAAAGAGTCAGACGCGACTGAGCGACTTTCACTTTCACATGCCTCTTTACACATTGCTGGACTGCTTTGATGAGATTCTATTCAAGATTCTGTCCTTGAGCTTGGTAGGGTTGATTCTCCTTGGGTGATTTAGTTACTAAAGTTAGGTAGTTTCATAAAATGAGTTCAATTTCTTATTTTTTCTGTTCTCCAGAAGAGCTGCTCTGGTTCGAAATTGACTTGTGGCTTGCTAGAATGAACATACAAAACCATCAGGGCATTGGTTCTTTCTTGGTGCAAAGCTTCTTGTTTCTTTCTTTTTTTTTTTTAAACTGCTGACAGTTTTGATAGTTTATTTCTTCTTGAGTCATTTCCATTTTTTCTGGGATTTTGAATTAGGGAGGTTTCCAGTTGACTGCTGTAAGGCCGAAAATGCTGTCACTTTATTATCTTTTTTCTCTCTGAAACAGCTCTACTCTTAAAAAACAGTTAATATTTGTTCTCCAGCCCCCCACCAGCACCTGTTCCCCTCTCCTCTCCCGCCCTTCACTCTGCACTTTCCTCTTCCCCATCTCTCTCCTAGTCACTCTTGCCAAGAGCTTTCCAGTCTTAATCATTGATCTTTCTTGTACTTTGGTGAAGTTTAATCTGCTGCTCTTTTCCTGACTCCCTCTGTTAAGATGCTCATTTCATGGATTTCCACTCTATTTCTCTCCTACTATGAACATTTAAAGTTCTAAATTTCCCTCTCAATTAATGGTTCGTCGTATCTCCCGTTTAAAAGTACATGGTGGTGTTATTACTTATCTATATTTTCACTTTCCTTTATGAGTTCTCATTCGACACACACATTTTTTAAGTCATGCGCTTTAACATTTCTCTGTGGAGGTTTTCTATGTATCTCCTTGTTCTTCGTTTCTTGCTGAATGTATCATGGAGAGAGAATGTGACTTATATCCGAGCAGCCTGATTCGATTTACTAATCATCTGCTTTAGGAACTCAGTGTTCAGTCATCATAATCATTTCATATACTGCACTGATATATGCATTTTTCCCTTTGCACGCTGCAATGTCCTTTCAGTAACAAGAAATGCTTCATTTATTTTCATTGCATTTTGTGTTTTTAAACTTTCTGCTAGGTAGGGAAGTTACTGATTTCCTGAGCAAAAACGAAAAAATTCATTCAAGGAGGTTGAGGGAGTGCTCAGTACATGCTTACGATTGCTGTACATGAAGAATTAATGTACATTAAGAATACCACGATCCAGGGATCTCCCTGGTGGCTCAATGGAGGCCAAAGGTGGGCAATGCAGGAGACACGGGTTCGATCACGGGGTCTGGGAATATCCCATGTGCCTTGGAGGAGAAGGCAATGGCAACCCACTCCAGTACTCTTGCCTGGAGACTCCAATGGACGGAGGAGCCTGGTGGGCCGCAGTCCATGGGGTCGCCAAGAGTCGGACACGACTGAGCGACTTCACTTTCACTTTTCACTTTCATGCACCGGAGAAGGAAATGGCAACCCACTCCGGTGTCCTTGCCTGGAGAATCCCAGGGACGGGGGAGCCTGGCGGGCTGCCGTCTATGGGGTCACACAGAGTCGGACACGACTGAGGCGACTCAGCAGCAGCAGGAGCATGTGCCTTTGGGAAGCTAAGCCCAGGTGCCTCAACTACTGACCCCAAGTGATGCGACTACTGAAGCCCACACTCCCCACAGCCTGTGCCCTGCATCAAAGAGAAGCCTCTGCAATGAGACGCCCACACACCACAACTAGAGAAAAGCCCTCACAGCGCAGAGACCCAGTGCAGCCAAAACAAATAAACACACAGATCAATCAGCAAACGTTTTTAAAAGAAGACCACAGTACAGCAGAAACTAACCTAACACTGTAAACTGTTCTACTCCAGTTAAAAATTAATGGAGTAATAACAAATAAGTTAATAAAAACAGTCACTAATGAAAAAGAAGCTGCAAGAAAAACAGATAATTATCTATGTCAGAGTGCATCACTTCGCTGTGCCCCTGAAATGAACACAACGCTGTCAATCAGCTATAGCTGTTGCTGTTCAATCCCTCACTCATGTCCGACCCTTGGTGACCCCCCGTGGACTGTAGCCCACCAGGCTGCTCTGTCCATGGGATTCTCCAGGCAGGAAGACTGGAGTGGGTGGCCATTTCCTCCTCCAGGGGATCTTCCCCACCCAGGGATAGAACCTGCATCTCCTGCATCGGCAGACAGATTCTTAACCACTGCACCACCGATGAATCCCTTTGCCGTACACCCGAAATGAATGGAACATTGTAAATCGACCATACTTCCACAAAAATTCATTGATTTAAGAAAAGAATGCACTGATGAAAGAGACTAAGACTGCTTATCCTCACAGACTTGCTTCAGCACCTAGAAGGGGACAGAGATTTTATCACATATTTATTTATATGTGATATAAATATATATGAGTATATTTTATAATGAATATTTATATATACATGTATATATAAATATAAATATTTATCACATATTTATTGATACCTGTGTCACACGCCACAGAGGGAAGGTACAGCGTGTGTTCAATGACAAAGGGTCTTTCTGATATCGAGTACGGTGGTGACTCCCCAGGAGGCATTGCTGGTAAAGAATCCGCCTGCCCATGCAGGAGACTCGGGTTCCCAGGTCAGGGAAGATTCCCCCAAAGAGTCAGACACGACTGAACCACCACGATCATCTTAGGGATGTTTGGGACTGGAGCAAATAGGAACAGCTGTCAAGGACCCTTTGGGGTGAAGCCAATGTCTTATACCCACCCGATGTTTTATGCACATTTGGAACAGGACGAAATGTCTACCAGGCGTGTAAAAGAACAGACAGTGGGCTGCACTTGGCCCCCTACTGGGCACAGTTTGCTGACTTCCATCCTAAACCGTTTCCCACGGGTTGTGAAATCTGATAAATGCTACTAAGCCTTTTGCCTTACTTGCTATCACACGCGCGCGCGCCCAATCGCATCAAACCCTTTGCAACCCCTGTGTCCATGGGATTCTCCGGGCAAGAATACTGGAGTGGGTTGCCACTTCCTCCTCCAGGGGATCTTCCCGACCCAGGGATCGAACCCGCATCTCCTGCCTCGGCAAGCGGATTCTTTACCACCCGGCCACCCGAAAATTCCACTTGCTGTCACATACGTAACCTCAGCCCGGCAGTCCTGTGGGGTAGCTATTAACTACTTATTAACGAGCTATTAACAAAGGTAGTCATTCCTCTGGCAATGAAGACCCAGGGATGTTCAGAAATTCATGAAGGCTTCCCTGGGTGGTCCAGTGCTTAAGAATCCGCCTGCCAAGGCATGGAAGACGTGTTCGAACCCTGGTCAGGGAGGATCCCCCATAAAACTAAGCCCGTGCGCCACAATTACTGAAGTCCGAGTGCCCTAGAGTTCGCAACAAGAGAAGCCGCCAGAAAGAGAAGCCCGAGCAACATAATGGAGGGTAGCCACCACTCGCCGCAACCAGATAGAGTCCTCGGGCAGCAAGGAAGAGCCACGGCAGCCAAAAATGAATGAATTTTAAAATACATGTTCACATGACCGACGCGAGCTGGAAAATGAAACCCCACGTCTTTCATTTCCGACGCCGGGAGCTGGATGCCTTCCACGGCTGCCTCCTTCCTAAGCTGATGCTTCTGAGGACGACCGATGTCCTTTCTTGCTGTGCGTCTGATGCTCCTCAGGCCGCTTCTAGGCTGGGTGGATTCTGCATTTTCTGTGCGGGCTCTGTTAACGCGCACCTCGCAGGCTTTCTGCCCTCTGTCATGTTTGACTCCATCAAGTCCGACCTGCACGGCATTTGCTCCTTCTAGCCCCCTCTGTCAGCGATTTCCAGTCTTTCACGTTTCTGCGTAAACAGTGATGGCCCCCAGAGCAGATGCTGCAGCCCTTAATTTCATTTTGCTCGGGGAACAGATGAACGTGGGGCTTTGGCAGCTTGAGGAAGAGCTGGTGTGCAAATCCAGCTCTGATTCGTAATGGGTAAGGGTATTCAACAGGCCAGACCTGCGCCTGGTCTGAGGCTGGAAACGAAGCTCTGCTTTCGGGACGTCTGCAGGCAAGGGAAAATACAGCATGAGCCCAGTTTGCTGTTCTTCTGACTCCTCGACATTTGTGCTTCGTATCTGCTTGTCTTTATCACCCTCAAGGGCTGGGCAGCCATCCAGCGTGCACGTCCTGTTGGAAGGCTCGAGAGAGGACGCTTAAACTCAGAGCCAGGCGTCGCTGCAGAGGTAGCAGAGAGGGAAAGTGAGGTTCACAGCAGAGCACCCGGCAACTCCCTTGTCTTTCTAGCTGCTGGGGAAGTTCCACCTTTAAACATGCTTTCACGGGCGTCCCTTCAGCAGGGGACAGTTTATGACCTCTTTATTAAAGAGCAAGGCGACGTCTCTGGCTTTCTCGGGCCCCAGGGGCGGCTGTGTTCCGCTGGAGGTCTCGCCGCGATCGGAGCCTACCTGGGAGAGAGTGTGTGTGAGCGCCGGGCACCTGGGCGGTCTGAGGGTGGAGGCGGCAGGCTCGGGAGGTGAGTGCAAGGGACAGACAAGCCCAGGTGGGGTGGCGGGGCCACTGGGCTGCTGCTGCGGCGGGGCGGGGAGGAAGAGAACGCTGTCAGCGTCTCCACCTGGGGACGGGCCGTCTCTAGAGGGGCCAGCCTGGGGAGAACTTCTCCCCAAGGCTTTTACATATCTTTATATATAGACGGGCCTTCCCTCGTGGCTCAGCTGGTAAAGAATCCGCCTGCAACGCGGGAGACCTGGGCTCAATCCCTGGGCTGGGAAGACCCCCTGGAGAAAGGAAAGGCTACCCACTCCAGTATTCTGGCCTGGGGAATCCCACGGACTATATAGTTCACGGGCTCCCAAAGAGTTAGACACGACTGAGCGACTTTCACTTCACTTCACTCCACATACATATAAGATGACTAGGAAAATCCTCTCTCACACTGCTCCTTTAGCCTTAGATGCGCTGCTTATTAAGCAAAAGGAACAAACAGCCATGCTTTTCTAAAGTGTGTGCTTCTGTATCACCGTGTACAATTCACAAGGAAGACTAAGGCACAGGCCTCGGAAGTGGGACTGACCCCCTTTACAGACGAGGGAACGTAAAGAGATGAAACTATTTGCCTGTGATGACACCTGTCATGGGCTTCCTCGGCAGCTCAGCAGTGTAAGCAATTACTGTGTAAGTAATTGCTTGCAATGGGGAAGACACAGGAGATGTGGGTTCGACCCCTGGGCCGGGAAGATGCCCTGGAGGAGGGCGTGGCAACCCACTCCAGGATTCTGGCCTGGAGAATCCCATGGACAGAGGAGCCTGGTGGGTTACAGTCCATGAGGTCCCAGAGTCGGACACGACTGAAGCAGCTGAGCTTGCACTCACAGGTATATGTGTTGGGGTACACTACCAGATTTTCAGCGGTTTAAACTCTGTCTCTTTCTCTCAGAAATACGCGTCTATTTCCCAAGCCTCTTTTCAGGAATAAGGTTAACTGTTACGTATCCACCCTGGAGGAATGATGGTGTAGAAAAGGGCCATTGTGTTGATGTAAATCCTTTCTTTTTTTAAAAGGATTTTTGCTTATTCGATGTGGAGCGTTTTTAAAGTCTTTATGGAATGTGTTACAGTGTTGCTTCTCTTTGATATTTGGGTTTATTTCGGCCACAGGGAATGTGGGATTTTTAGCTCCCCTGACCCGGGGATTGAAACTGCACCTCTTGCAAGGGAAGGTGGAGTCTCACAGCCCCAAGGTAACCTGTTTCTTCGTCTTTTTCTCTCCATCCTCATCACCAAGCTTCGGGAAAGCCTCTACATCTCTGACCTGAGTGGGTGCCCGGGCTTCCTTTGCAGCCTTAACATCAGCCCTCAGGCAGAGGTCCAGCCTGGGTGGCCCTGAAACTCCTGACTGTTCCCGTCTGGACCGTGTTTATGTTCTTCACCAGAGTGCAGATCTGCATTAGCTTTCATCAACCTGCGTTAGCTTCCTCCTGCTGCTTTAACAAATCCCCATGAGTGCCGGCTTACAGAAACACACAGCCCTCATCGCAGGATACTGTAACGGCTGGTTTATCCATCTTCCCTCTCAAGACTGGGAAATCCTAACACAGAGGGTAGGGTGGCAGGTTCCTAGACGAATGAATGAATGAATTACTGTCTTTGCGCTTAGGATGTTCGCGCTTGCATTTTTCCCACTGGTGGCAGTCAGGTTCAACTAACCCTGGAGGACGTGAAGAGCTAACCGCAGTTTTCTTCCCAGGCACTTTTTGGCGTACGTCCCCACAGAGATAAAGTCACTGCAACCAAGATTTATAGCTTCTTTTCTCCATAAAGCTTCACGACTTCTTTAGCTACTTCGGGTTAGACTCTCTAGAAATTGGTCTCCGGGGAGCTGAGTGAGGTCACAGCTAAGGAAATTAACTGGATGGCTTTGCTGGGGAACACGCTGGTTGGTCCTTGCTTGCCTGGTTTAATTATTCACCCATGGCTGCCTTTCACGTCCCGATTCTGATGAGAGAGTTGGTCTATCAATATTAACGCTTCTAACATCACACACCTCTGTTTGCTTGGGGATGAAATAGGAAGGGAGTGTAAAGGCACAGAACATCTGTAACACGTGTTACATCCTGAAAGGTTTGAACAATCATCACAGTTTCCTGAACAAGTGAAGAACGAGAAGAAAATTATGGAACTTCACTGGTGGTCCCAGTCGCTAAGACTCCGTCCCAACCCAGGGCGGGGGGGGGGGGGGGGTGTGGGTTTGATCCCCGGTGGAGGAACTAGATCCCACATGTCGCAACTAGGAGGTCACAGGCCACAATTGAAAGATCATGCATTCTGCCACTAGGACCTGGCGTAGCCAAACATAATTGAAAAAAATGTCTATATATTTTTAAAAAAATAAGAACAAAATCAGTACCAGTTTTAAGAAATGATGGGTTTTCACACCAGCGTCAAGTCTGTTGCTATCTCCAACTGCACATCTTGTGCGAAGCCCTGAGATTCTTTCTTGCACTCTTACTGGCTAAAGACGGGCTAACGAAGGGAATTCAGAGTCATTGACAGCCAGCTGCAGAACTCTCTCGTTTCCCTGGGAGGGCAGAAAATGGTAACCTCGGACAGGGTCCAAGCAGACGGGCTCAGAGGTGCAGGAAGCCCGCGAGAGGGGAGAGCCAGTTGTGTCCAGGAAGGGAGAGACAGAACAGGAGGGGAGTCAGCCTTAAAACTCAGAAAGAGAGGGTGTCTGCGGGTGACCCAAATTAGTAATTAGTAAGACCCAAATCTTGCGCTGGAAGCAAGACCACACAGAATAAGCCCTGAGAGCAAAGGAAAGGAAATGGGAACAGATTTGTGGACATGGGGTGGGGGAAGGAGACGTGGGAAAAATGGACAGAGAAGCATCGAAACATCTACATATCATGTGCAAAACAGCCAGTGGGATTTGCTGTTGTGACGTAGCAGCTCAACCCGGGCTCTGTAACAACCTGGAGGGGTGGGATGGGGAGGGAGGCGGGAGGGAGGTTCAAGAGAGAGGGGACACGTGTACACCGATGGCTGATTCATGGGGACGTACGGCAGAGACCAACACAACTTTGTAAAGCAACTTTCCTCCAATTACAGTTAAATAAATGTTTAAAATTTCAAAATGATTTTTAAAAAAAGAGCATGTTAAAATATGAGGTCAGGGATAGCAGGTCCATGCAGAAAGATGTTCCTTGGATTCACGCAACAATAAACAAAGGCATGTCAGGAAACAGCAATGGGAGGGAATGGAAGAGATTTGGGATAATCGATTTGAAGAACTGTGCCAGCTCTCTTGAAAAAATAAGGACAGTGGTGGGGGGGTGAGTAAGACCAGAAGACATTTTTCACTGATTCTAAAAATCACTTATTCAAACACACACAAAGAAAGCCACAATAAATATTTAGCATGAGCTAGATCTATCAAGTTGGAGCCAGGCGGAAATACTGGGAAAGCTACTTGTGACTTCACAACAATTAATAAACAGAGACTTATAAACAAAGACTGAGATAAATTTGTTCATCCATCCCTAACATTTAGCCCATTTTTCACAACTGCGTGGACAACATATACAAATTACCACGATGTGAAGATCATAAATACAGGTTCCTCTTGGTTTCCTTTAATAAACCACATGTCTTATATCTGGCCTCCTGACACATCTATTTCTCCATATTAAACAGAAACCTAATAATCTTTGACAAACGGTGATTTTATATTTGGATGACACCCAGATCTTCCGCGACGTGTGTGGGAAAATGGAATTACTGCTGGAAACGTTATTTAAAGATTACAGTATGAAAGAAGGATTAAGAGGTCGGAAAGCTCTTTCTCCGGAAAGAAGCTTATCTCGACTCATTCAAATAGCTTCACACGCCAGTTTGAGGTCCTTCCAAAAAATTTAAATTGCTAAATGAGACACCCTGTGTGGCCCGACTCCAGAAGGACGCAACATCTCATAAGCGCTAGGGACAGTTCCAGTATCTTCCCCAAGGTTCTGGCAAAAAAGAGAGAAAGGGAGAGAGCTGTCAGATGACTCAATCTGAGCATTTAGGGTGTGGGTCCCTTTGCTATATACGGAGAGGAGGAAGCCACGACATTCCCGCTGGGGTGGTCAGCTTGACCCACCCAGATCAGCACTCACTAATAAGACACAGACCTCCGTGGCGAGGGCTGTGATGGAAACCTCTGTGAGCTGATGGCCGCACCAAGAAAGAACTGTTCCAGTTCACCTGTTTGCAAAAAGGACTGTTTCGTGGAGAGGGTCACGTTTGAACTAGACCTTTAGGAGTTGGGAAGATTCTACACAGAGAGAGGAGGGAAGAAAAAGGTTGGCGGGAGCAGGGAGGGGGGAATCTTTTTAAAGTCTTTAAATTGGGCTAATGTACACAAATCATAGACTTCGTTCTCTGTGGCTCAGATGATAAAGGATCTGCCTGCAATGCAGGAGACCCAGGTTCTACCCCTTTGTGGAGAAAGTCCCCTCGAGAAGGGAATGGCAACCCACTCCACTTTTCTTGCCTGGAGAATCCCATGGACAGAGGAGCCTCGTGGACGGCAGGCCATGTCCTCGCAAAGAGTCAGACACGCCTGAGTGACTAGCACACACACGCTCACCATTTTTCAGGGTACGCTTCAAAAGCACTAAGGATACTCACGCTGGTTTGCGGTCACCCACGTCACCCATCTCTCGGATACTTTTCATCTCACAAAATTAAAACTCTGTCCTCATTAAACGATAACCCCCAGCCCGCTCCCCAACCCCTGGTGCTCACAGTTCTCGTATCGTTTTATCCCTATGACTACTCTGGGAGTCTCACATAAGTGGAATCATACTGCATTATTTTTGGACCGCCTTATTTCACTTAGCATCATACCCTCAAACATTTTTAGCATGTGTCAGAATCTCCTTCCTTTTTAAAGGCTGACGCATATTCCACACTGCGTCTATATCACACTTGGCTTTTTCGTTTATCCACTGATAGACATTTGAGTTACACCAGGTC